TCAAAAATGTGCCATCTGCTCCTGGGTTTGCTGATGTAAAAGTTTATGGTGTAGTTATATTGTCTATGGTGGAGTTTTAATTGATAATTAAGATTGTATAGTCAATATTTTAATGGTGTTTAATCGACTGTCAAGACGTTAACGGAAATATTATCACCCTGGATCAATAGATAACATCGATTACTGACAGAGAAATAGAAATTCTTATTGTTTCTTCTTACATTACACGCTTTCTCAAGATTTCTTACAGTTTTTATGCGTAGCGGCCATTTATAGCTTCTATATGCATCATTCAAATATTTTATTAGATCCTGTAAATATCAAAATCCACCTTCATTCGTTTTGTTTTGTTTTGTTTTGTTTTGTTTTGTTTTGTTTTGTTGTAATTATAGAAATGACAATCTATTAAACGGATTGTAAAAAGTTTTTGTAATATTTTTATGCGTATCCTACCATTAAAAGCTTATATTTGCATGGTTCATATTTTTAGTCAGATGTCTGTGGTTCCTGTAATTATAGAAATGCTGAACTGATATGACAGTCTACATACAGTACGAGGCAAATGTTGATTTCCCAAATGGGCACCCCCTTTCATAAAGCCCACCTACCTTATAATGTTAATTTTGTATTTTTTCAGAGATACTGGAATGGTTCTGAGAATCAGTATTGTATGGAAACGGTAACCAAGGACTGGTATTATAGCTCTTAATTCCTGATATTAAACTGGTGTAACATGGATAAGTATAGTGAAAATATAAAATAGTTGTAACGTTAGTAGAATTAACGATCATACATGTACCTTTAAGTATAATGTGAAAAAATTCTGAGTTAGTATCGTAAAATGCGTAAAAAGCGATTTTGATCGAGATCAAGTGCAAAATATGAGCTTTGTAGTCAGAAATCGCACGAAAATCAAAGGAATTATGGGTATTTAGCAGAAGTGAACCAAAAGTTTGTGGGATCATTAGTGAAAATTATTAACCGGAAACTTAAAGGAGAAAGACTCAATTAGTGTTGTTTTTAAAAATTCACAGGGAATTGATTTTACAAAGTGGCTTGGAAAGTGGAATATCTTTCTACTGAATCTCATTTTGATCAGCTAGCAAGTTTTTGCTTAATATTTGGATTATGTTTCCAGCATTTTAAAGTTATGTGTAAGCCTATTAATATATTAGAAAAGTGCTATAGTGATTTAAGGGTAAAAAATAACCAGAGCTGGTTTTAAGCTTTTTGGATTACATTACGGATTAAAAATTAAATTTAAATATGTCTTATGAAGTCTTAGTCAACTTGTTTTGCTGAAAGAATCAAAAGATGTTGAATTGAGTAAACTACGAAGAAGTTTTAAAAGGTAACATTTTAGATTATTTTCAGTTTATATTAAGTTGAATTAGCATTCCAGCTAAATTTTCCTCATTGTGCACTGCTTAGAGTTGTCCACCACGATTATTTTGAATAACATGTTACAGCTAGGAAGAGTTGAATCAATGCCATACAGTGTACATTGATGAAAAGGTTGACAATATTTTATTGAAATTTTAATTGAATTCTGTATGGACTCTCATTTTTAACCCTGACAAAAGCTATGTGAACTCTCTGAAAGAAAGCTGAATAGACAAATCTATCATCTGTTACAAAAGAACAAAAGAGATTAAACTCAGAATATATATGCTATTGTATTATTGAGCATTTCCATGCCCCTGCCCTTGCTTCCGTACGGTAAAACGAAACCTGAAATCCGTAACAACATATTGACGAAATATTGGTAGCACTTAATGAACTTTTCACTTAAAAAAGTATATCAGTTATAAGTGAGTAAGTATTTCATAATAAAAAGTGGTATCAGGTGTCTAAAAGAGTAAGCACACCTGCCTGGCACTCCACAATAAACTTAAAAAATGATTATGATATGAAATATTCCAATGATTGAATATTGAATATTGTGAACTTTTAACCTAGCTAACAGCTGCCAGTAGTAATATCTAGTATTATTAAAATTTATTGATTTTTTATTGAATTTTTAAGTTTATAAACAACACATACTGTTGATATATAATCAATATATGATCTACATTGAGTTTTACATCCAACCTATTTTTCACTATAGTCTTGTTTTCCTAAATATCACAAATATCACAATGGATATATTATGGTATAACTCACTTCTTTAATAACAAAGTACAACACAATTTACATTGGTTGTCATCAGATGAAATGAAAAAGCAATTTTTATGTCGTGTTGAACTTTTCCATTTCATTTCATTTCATTTTATTATCTCTCTAAGTTACATAACAGGCATGTTGAGAACAGTAGAACGTTCTTTTCTATTTCATTTCATTCCATTTCATTAGCTCTGTAAGTTACATAACAGGCATGTTGAGAACAGTAAAATATCTTTTTCTATTTCATTTCATTTCATTTCGTTAGCTCTCCACAAAAGGTACAGAGACAACAGAGGTTGTATTCAAAGTCTCTCTGTTGTGTTTTGTAAATATTTCAAAGAAAGAGAGTCTATTGATTTATATGCTGTCTGAAATAAGAACTTGTGACTATTATTTATCGTGTATTGACAGTCTCATTGTTGTATATTTTGTAAATATTTTAAAGAAAGAGAAGGAGTGTTTGATTGTTGGCAGGTCACACGGAGAATACAGACAATATTACATCATGTATATTTCAGACTTATGAGAAAATATGAGAAAATTTACACATTAAGATAATTCAATCAAACGCTTGCCTGGAAACAGACGTTAAAAAATTCTGATAGTGAAATATAACAAGGTCGTCTTGATCATCGTTTTCAATTTGATACTATGCCAGTCAAACTACCTGACGACTTAATTAGAAAATATGAAATGAAATAGAAAAACTAGATGACAACTTACTTACAACACAAGAAATGAAATAGAAAAATATAGGTTACTGTTTTGGCATCCCTGTTTTGTATCTTATAGAGCTAATGAAGTAGAGTAGAAAAGAACATTCTACTTTTCATTTCTTCACTCTCTAAATTTCTTATCATTTTCTGTTAGTCAATTCTGTTGTCTTACTCTCCCTCCTCCCTGATTTTTACATACAAACACTAACATAAAGTGCTGAAGTTGCATTGCATTATTTTGAATTACAAGTATTGAGTTATTATTGAGTTAATGATCAAGTGTCTATGGTATATCAATAAGTATAGTATATGTTATTATTGTTATTATTGACAAGCACCTGTTACCAGAACTGACTGGGCATTAAGTATATTTTATAGGTTATATTGATAATTGATAATGATTATTTATAAATACTGAGTCCTAGGGCATTATTGTATATTGATAATGATCATTATTACACTTGTAAGATACTGACTGCAGGGCATTATGGTATATTGATAATGAAATATTAGAACAGAACCTGAAACATGTTGTTTCTCAGAGTTAACCCCTAAGCGATGTTCAGATAACTAACCTATTGATAATGATAATTGTTATATTTATAAGATACTAACTGCTGGGCGTTATTCTTTCATATATTGGAAAGTTAGCCCTCAATTCAGTTCACTTACTTTGCCCAGTTTGGGCACCCCCATTTCCAAAATTACCTGTCCTGATGAGAATTGTATATCTGAAACATGTTTAGCTTTAATAGTGCAAACAGACACTACAATTGTCCATAATAGAAATAGAAAGAAAACTCTGTTTGAAATTCCTAGTGGAAATCTCAGGTTGAAAAGTGAATGAAATAAAAAACAATGGTTTTCCTGAAGAATTGTTTTGAATTTGATATTCTCAATAGATTTAAAGACATGAAAAGATCTGTCATATATCATGAATTATTTCATGTTTGATCTTCACAATGATTTACAATTAAAAATTGTTCTGGTAAAAAACTGATTGTCTGGTTGTAGACAGGAATCATTTCTTTATAATAGATTGAAGACTTTAGTTCATCTTGAAAATAATTCAGTTGTCTTGCTCTCCATAGATCATCTGGATCAATTATTAGTCCCACATCCGTTTAGGGGGGTCCACAATCTTGTCATAATCCTTAAGCAACATCAGTAACCTTTTGTGAGAGCCCACATAGTTAATAATGTTTATTGTATAAGTATTTAGCTTTGTCAACTCTGCGTTCTCTTTCAGAGAGTCCACATGCTTAAATATGATATAGTGTTTGCCAGCATTTCTTTTTCGAGAGTTCACATATCTAAAATTAATCCTTTAGCGACATTTAGTGGTAGAGATCACATTAAAGAGGTTTTATATCTAAAATTGTCCCTTTTAGAGGACCAGTTAGGTTTATAAACTCAGCATGTCTTTAAGAGAGTTAACATAGTTAATGATATTATTATGTTAACTTGTTGTTGTTGTATTCTCCTGTGTAATTAATGATAAATATTATGTATATTTGTGTTATTTCCAGTGTTTGTATGAATTAATCCGTATTATTTTACACGTTTTTTCTGTTTTTCAGAAGGAATACGAATAGGTTGTGTATTGGATTCTAAATCGAGAGTGAAACTCGTAAAACGATAGCTCCTCCGTGCTGAAAATAGAAGAGTGTTATTATTTTTGGAAGTGAGCCGCCATGATTAATGAGGTTGTAATTCGATATCTTTGAGAGACAAGGGCAATAACTCAGAGAAGATAAGTAAAATATCTGATGTAATGGGTAACGCAACACGCTGAAAATTTTGAGAAAAGTACAAAACTTGAAACAGTCTAATGTGGATTCTTAAAGAAATTCAAACAAGTTTGTGATGTAATCAACGTTAAAGTTGGTTGAGTGTTCACCTATGCGTTGTCATGGATACCTGTTTAGTGGACTTCAGTCAAGGGCAATAACCAACAAAGCTTACAAATGTAAATTGTAAAAAAACAAGGGGAATAATTTTGAAATTTAACGCGAATTTATCAGGTTCCTTTAGTTAATTTGTCAGAAATACAAATGTGAAGTCAAGAGGAGAGAACTCTCAATGTGTTTGGCTAAGATCAAAGGGGAATAACTTTCGTATCCCCACACAATGAAGAAGCAAAACGTTCGGACTTTGTCTCTGATCGTTTGCACGTTTACTTATCTTTTAGTGGGAGCTGCCGTGTTTGACGCGTTAGAATCAGAAATGGAAGTTGGAAATCGTCAGTTACTATACGACGAGGAACATTCCTTACAGCAAAAGTATAACATCACTAACGAGGACTTTGAACGTCTGCGCTGGAATATAATTCGTACAGTTCCGTACAAGGCTGGAACTCAGTGGAAGTTTGCAGGATCTTTTTATTTCGCTTTGACTGTGATTACTACTATAGGTAAGACTTTTTTTTCCATTTTGCCGCCATTTTTTATCCGTCTGTTCTTTTATTCTGATGATCTAAATCAACTGACTGGTTTATCATTGCTAATCAGTTCCTTTACTTAGATACTGTGATTGAATTCAAAGTCATTTTGTTTTTTTGCCTTTTTTACGATATTTTGATCATCAGCAATTGTTGATTGAATATCTCGTAACCTCACTCCAACAAAATAAACCATAAAAGTACGATTAAAGCAGAAAATAAACTGAAATGAAATAAACTAAAGTTTTCTTTTTATTTTTGTAAACTTTTAAAATTAATGGACACGTTAAACCAAACATTTTTTTAGAGAGCTATGAAATAAGATGGAGACTTAAGTTAAATGAAATTGTCATGCGATGAATGTGTACTGTCTTTATTTAATTATTCAAGATATTTAGCGCTGTTTTTATTGGTTTATCGTATCAGGCGATGTGGTCATGCGATAATCATGTGATTAGAATAACTCGGAATTTAGATTGGCCATTCTAAAAGTTAAATTTGTATTTGATGCTTTCGTTTACTTTTATAAGGTTTTGTACGAGATACTCTTATAGAAGCACTGGCCTAGGTTACAAGTATTAGGTGTTATAGAAGATATTCTCCTATAGAAACACTGGCCTAGGTCACAAGTATTAGGTGTTATAAGGGATACTCTCTTATAGAAGCACTGGCCTAGGTTACAAATAGAGACTTAGCTGAGGGCTGTAACTCACTATTTACCTGTTCTTTAGTACTTGTATATTAAAAGAAGTAAGAAAAGACCTTTTAACAGTGACTAAAGTATTTTATTCTACAAGCTTTTGATGTCCAGACGATTTTATCTGGTGAAATGGTTTTGAAAACTTAAGTATATTTAATTTTTTTTTATTTAGAATATTAGAAAATTTCAGACTGTATTTGTCCTTGAGGAAATATTACGCAACCCTGCAGTCTGTAGGCTGATTTATTACTCTGGTTGTTCTAGTCTAGAATGAAGCTAATTCAATGAAATAGATATGTAATTAGGGTACTTAATTCATTATGATTTACGTCTTGACGTAAGAGGGCGGTCTGAAAATTAAAAAATACGAGCTGAAAAGATGGCGAAGTTGATTACAGCAATTAAAATTTAAAAAATATGTTTAGATCAAAGAAACGAAAGGAAAGAAATGGAATACCACGTCCACATTTTATATTTATAAATAGACAGCTGAAGGCGGACGATGCTTTTAAGTGGACAATGAAGAAAAATTTGCCTGCAGGAAATCATTTAGCTTGCTCTGTTGCAGTTATTGACTGTCAAGGTATCTTTGATGTGCACATTTTGTAGCAGTTCACTGTGTAGTTCTAATTCTTGCCAATGTTTGTCAGATTAGACGGGACTGGCTAATAAAATTAAATCAGCATCCCTGATTGGTCGATTGATACGGTATATAAGTTTGAATTAAGCCTGTTAATAGTATTAACCAATCAAAAGTCACTAATTC